CGATAAAGCAAACCACAAAAGGAATACAAAAATGTGAGAAACCAAACCATAAATCTCACAATGCAGACCATAGCATCCGGTGGTTGTTGACCGTTGACCGGTCAACGAAGTTCGTTGACCGAACTCCGATGACCGTCAGTGAGCAGATTCCGACGCCGATAGGCATATTCCGGCCCCGATGACTAGATTCCGTCGCCGGTAAGCATATTCCGATGCCGGTAAGCATATTCCGGCGCCGGTAAGCATATTCCGGCGCCGGTGGCATATTCCGATGAGAAAATAGCATATTCCGGCGACGGAAAGCATATTCCGGTGATCGGTGACCAAATTCCGGCGACCGGTGGCCGAATTCCGGCGACCAATTTTTTGGCAGAAAATAAAAAAATATTTTTAATTTTTTAATTTTTAATTTTTTAATTTTTTTAATTTTTATTATTATTTAAACATATTTTCATAATGACAATTATACCCCTGCTTTGATTTTACACTAGGTCAACTCATCTAATAAAAAGTCATCACAACCCTAGCTTCCTATTGGTTGGAGACTAGTGTTGTTACAATAAAAACACAAGAAGTGTTGTCATGGTATCTAATCCCTAATAAAATGCAAACGGAATATATTATGCAATCGAGATAAATAACATCGATTTTCAAATACACTGGACGAAAATGATCGTTATCACAAATTTGCTAAATAATGGGTAGCCATGTGTAATTGTAGTCAATGAAATCAGAAGCGTGATAATGATTTTACATAGATGTGTTTTGGTGAGCTAGAAGCGTAAAATCGAATGTTTTTTTAACTTTAAAGGTATCCTAAACATGGGGACAATTGCACAATGTGACTGATCATCAGATGTATGCTCTCAGTCCCTCACAAGGTTGAGATTAATTTTTATTTAATTATCTCTCTAATCTCAATTTTTTTTTTACAATAAACAACCTTTTATTCCATCCGAAACCGGGAAAACCGTGATCACATTACAGGAGTGGAGCAATAATATTGACAATTAAAATCCAATCCACTGGTAACGATCCCGCCCTAGCATGTCGTGCCACCCAATCCGCTAATCGATTCAAACGTCGAGGAACAAACTCAACACGAATCTTTAATCTCGAATCTGCTGCAGCTGTACTCTAACGCAGATATAAGCTCCAAAGCTCCTTTCTTCATGTGTCTCACTACGAGATAATGGACATGTGAATGTGATCGATCCCCCACTAAATTACTAATTAGTTTTTTAATGTCACCAACATGCAATTAACAAAAAGTATGTTATTTGTTTAGTTGCAGTATCTTAATCATCTTAATTACTTACTTTCAGAAAGAGGAAAATATTAAAATTTTGATCTGACTTGATGCGGGCATCCTGAAAAAGCTACTGCTACCTTGTGTTATGGAGTTATGGTTTCTGTTGCTCATAACAAAATCGACTCTCTAAGAATTTGGAGCATTGATAAACTACTTGCAACCGAAGAAGATATCAGGAGTTATTAATTTTTATATAATTTTTTTTTTCAAAAGAGCACGAGCCTCATTATCAGTTGGAGACGTACAAATGACCCCATATGTCTTTCGATCACATATTTATCCATGACGATTCGTAATAACTATCATGAAAGTAGCCTCGTGGTGGGGATCATTGTCAAATGATCCATCACAGTGAATCTCTTCTAAAGACTCGTCGACGATGAAGGAGAATGTGAAAGATTGTTTATCGGTTGTTGAGTGATGAGATAGAATCGACGTGAATTGGTTCAACAACAACGAGAAGGACTAACATTGAGATAATTCATAAGGTAACAAAACGATGTCCCAAAATAAATAATTATACACCTTCCAGATATTCTACACGAGAAAGCCTTTTTGACGTGAAAAAAAAAACTGAATCGCTAAATGTCGCCCTTAAAATTGCTAACGGTCGCCCTAACTCTAATGATAAATGACTTATATACCCCCAATAAAATTTCAAAATTTAAACAAACCAAACAATCCCTAACCCCTCAAACTGAACCTCTCATCTGCCTTCTTCGCGAATCCCACTCGACGCACCAGTTCGTCGGCGTCTTTCCCGCCGTCGTCGTCGTCCGTTCTCTAACGAAATTTCCAAAAAAACGCTCAACCTAAGGCAAGTTACGGTTGGTCCATAGTGCAACCGCAACTCACTTGCGGTTGGTCCATGGTGCAACCGCAAGTGAGCTGCGGTTGGCCCATGGTGCAACCGCAAGTGAGTTGCGGTTGGTCCATGGTGCAACCGCAAATGAGCTACGGTTCCCTTTTTTTTTTTTAATTTTTTGAGTGAACTTTACCGATTCAGAGTCGCTAGTCATGCTCCAGACATCATATCGACGATTCCAACTCCAGAATGACGATGATGGATTCTCTCTTTTGAATAATGTTTTATTTTCTTTACTAAGTTGTGTTTGTTTGCTAAAGGAAGAGTAAAGAAGCTAAAAGGTTAAATTTGTAACTTTGATGTTTTTTAGGGCGACATTTAGCAATTTTAAGGGCGACCTTTAGCAACTCAAAAAAACATTTAGTGATGGTTTTCCTCCATATCGGTGCCCATTAGAGAAGTCAAACGTTTTTGCTGATAATTTTCTTTATAATACTTTAGGGTTTAGGCAATTGCATTGATATGCTCATAATTAATGTGATTTAAGTATGTGCGATGTGTTTCATCACAACATTTTGTAATTCTTTTCCCCGATCCAATTGGGGTTTTGTTGAACACGAGGTCCATTAAGCAACAAAGCTTAGAACTTTCAGCCGGAAAACGGGAAAAAGACTAAAAGAGAGGTAGTTGAAACTTTAAACGGTTAAAGAAGAATTGGTCTAAATTGGAAAATAAAGCTTGTTTGTAATTTATCGAGTAGCTTCCTGTTCTTGATCAACAAGATTGACGTAATCAAGTTAAATAAAAAAAGTTTATATGCACACTAAGATCTTCCTGACCTTCATTTGCCATAAATTGTTGTTGGTGTAGGCACTTTCATATGAAACCGATCAACTTGTATATGGAATGTGGTTAACCATTATATATCAAACAGTCACATATTGTCACTATATCGGTTGACCAGATCTAGTACGATAGAGGTTAGGGTGCTAACTAGAGGTGGCAAATGGATTGGATTGGTGGATTGGTGGATTGGATTGGTGGATCCATGGATCAAATGGATTGGATCTAATGGATTGGTGGATTCATGGATTGGATCAAGTGGATTGGTGGGTTATCCATGAATCCAAATGACATCCTCAACCAAGGACCAATATGTAAAATGTAAAAAGTTTAGGTACTAAAATGTCACAATGAAAAATTTTAGGTACCAAAATGTAATTTTCCAATGATATTTTTCGTATAAAAAATAAAATTTTAGGTATCAAAATGTAAAAAATAAAAATTATAGGTACTAAACCGTAATTTGCCAATGATCCATGGATCCAATCCATGAATCCACCAATCCAATTGGATTTGGATAAAATGGATTGGATTTAAATGGATTGGATTAGGTGGATATTTTTAATGGATTGATGGATTGAATTGGTGGATTGGATTGAAATTGCCACCTCTAGTGCTAACAACCCATTTGTTAGCATGGTGCTAATGGTAGGTCCTAGGGGTGGGCATTCGGTCGGTTCGGTTCAAACCGAACCGAACTAATGATTACCGGGTCCCCGAAATAGCTCATGGAACCAACCGAATTCGAACCGAAACATATTTCGGTTCGGTTCATCCGAACCGAAATATATCTCGGTTCGGCTCGGTTTTGAGGCCAAAACCGAAATTTCATACAATAACTCTCTGACTCTCTCCCCACCACTAACCCTCTCCCCATTTTCCACCTACGCAGACCCTCTCTCTCCCCACTTACTCTCTTTCACCCACCTGTCCTATCACCCCACCTACCAAAAGAAAACACAGAACCAATTCTCACTCTTTCTTCTTCTCTCACTCTTTCTTCTTCTTCTCTCTCAATTCTCAGCGCACAAAGCAGCGGGCAGTGGTGATTTCTCCTCCCGACTCCCGTCTCTGGCGATTGATGGAGAAAAGAACTCAGGGACTGGTGGCGATTGCGATTGACGGAGAGAACAACCTAGCGGCGACGGCGACGGTGATTGACGGAGAGAACAACCCAGCGGCGATGGCGACGGCGATTGACATCGCTGATTGTGACGACTCCGGCAATGAAGGTTAGAGGTTATTAAGGTTCAATATCTAAGTATGCATGAACTTTTTGTTTGTTTTTCTCCTTCGCCTCTACTCCTCATCGATTTTGCGCTGCATGTTTGTAGTTGGTTGAAGCTTCGAAGGAAGCGATGGCATGAAGCAGATCTTGGTTTGGGGGCGATGGTGTCGAAGTTGGCAGATCTTGAACTCCGCCGGTGGGGGCTCGGGTGGGGGAAGGAGCAGAGCTGAGAGATTTTTTTGGTAGGAGGGTCGGGTGTGGGAGAGAATGAAGAAGGAATCAGGGCCTTGAAGCTGGCGCAGATCTTGAAGTTCCGCCGCCAAGACTTCATTCGTCAATTGTTTTGAGTAACAGGGCCTAGGGTTTTAGAGAAATGGGAAAACAAATGTAGTGGGCTTGGGTTGTTTGGGCTTGGGGATTGTGGGCTTTGGTTGTGAGTGTAAATTCGGTTGGTCGGTTCGGAAATCGGAAATCGGGTTCGGTTGAGCAGACCCTGATTTCCGAAATAGTGGGTTATGCCTTCCGATTTCCGAACCGAATAAGGATGTTTCGGTTTCGGTTCGGTACATTTCGGTTTCGGTCCGGTTCGGTTCGGGTTTACCGAACCGGATGCCCACCTTCGACCCAAAAAAACAGAAATCTTAGGCAATCAAAACCCAAAATATATATGGCTGCTGCAAACAACAATACAACAACATAATTTGGACAAAACCGCATCACCGAGATCCGCAAACCAGACCAAACACGCCCTTGTAGTTTTTTAAATAGTTTTTGGTTTTTTTGATTTTTCCCTCTCACCCACCACCGCCCAACTTTTTTCCTATAAACCTCTGAATCTCTGATCTTCCCCTTCCCTATATCTCTGCAATCCCCCCGCCATTTTTAATCTCCATAGAAAAAACCCCCCGCCAATTTCTCCACAACCCCTTCCTCTCCTGAAATAAGCTCCTATGCCATTCCGGAGATGAAGGTTCATTCATCTTCCCTCTGTTCTTCCGAACCACCGCATTTCCTCCATTGTTGGGTCAATTTCTTTTCTCTCGACCTCTCACACCATGTTAATGATTTGCAGGGATCAAATGTCGTCGCCGCCGCGGGGTTCAATCTTCCCCATCACCTCCGGATACTCTTCCTTCTCATCGTCGCCTTCCATCTCCTCGCTACTTGCTCCGGCCTCAAGGTCCATTTTTCCCCCCCGCTCTGTTTTCCTCTGTTTTGTTGTGCAAATGGGTCATTGTGAATGAGGTTTTTTGTTTATGGAAACAGCTGGGGGAGACGTGTTCTTCCGATAACCAATGCGACGCCGGGTTGCGCTGCCAGACTTGCGCCGCCAATGGCAACACCCGATCCAGATGCGTCCGCATCCAGCCAGTGATACCCACCACCAAAGTAAATGACTTTCCTTCCTCTGTTTTTTCAGATGAACGCAATGTGTTCGATGGAATGCCGAGCTGAAGCGAGAGATGACTAAATTTGTTACCTTTTTTTGTTTTTGTTTTTGTTTTTGTTTCGATGTTTGGTGATGGGTGATGGAGTTAGATGAAAGGTCTCCCGTTTAACAAGTACTCATGGCTTACCACGCACAATTCCTACGCCATGATGGGTGCGAAGTCGCTCGTGGGATCCATTCTGCTCTCTCCTAGGAACCAAGAGGATACTGTTACCAACCAATTGAATGTGAGTTTTTCCGCCCTTCCTCTTGTACCATTCTTTCTTGACCATTTCTGGGTTTTGCGGAAAGAAAAGTCCTGATTTGGGTTGTTTCACATTTGGGCGACGGTTGTTTGTATTTGTTCAACTCTTGAAAAAGCTTGAGCTTCCAGAATATCAAACTAGGTAAACCGGGGATTAATCAACTTAAGTAATTAAGGAAATTTCTCACATTCTGATCTCTTTTGGGAACCACTATTGAAGTGTTTAGGATTTTGTAATGTTGCTGCGCTGATGGAAGCACAATTGATAGATTAAGGAGCAGTTGACTTTGGAAATTATGAACACAAGTTGGTTTGAGAAGTAACAGAGGCCAATGGTCATGTGACGTTTGTCCGGGTTGGTAAAAAGTAGCAATCTTGTCTGGTGATTATTGATTCTTTCTGTTTCTTTTTTGGCAGAATGGGATTCGAGGCCTTATGCTTGATATGTACGACTTCAACAATGGCATCTGGCTGTGTCACTCGTTTGGTGGCCAATGCTACAACTACACCGCGTTTGTGAGTTCATGTAACTTTGAGTGAAAAAAAAAATATATACTTTTTTACCTTTTTACCATCAGATCACTCTAACAAACTACTTACCTTTTGCCAATTTCCCAGAAACCAGCAGTGGAAGTGCTTCAAGAAGTTGGGCAGTTTCTATCTGGACATCCATCAGAGATCGTCACCATTTTCATTGAAGACTACGTGACAACGCCACAAGGCCTCAGCAAGGTCTTCAACGAGTCCGGTTTAACGCAGTACCTTTTCCCCGTATCGAGCATGCCAAAGCGCGGTGGAGATTGGCCCATAGTGGACGACATGGTCAAACAGAATCAGCGGCTCCTGGTCTTCACCTCCAAACCTGAGAAAGAGGCTGCTGAAGGCTTTGCTTATATGTGGAGATACGTTCTTGAAAGTCAATGTGAGTTGCTAATCCCCATGTTGGATTCTCTGAAATTCAATCAATCAATCAATCTACAGGAAATTTTGAATTGATGAGTTGGATTTGATATGATTTGGAATTTTGCAGATGGAGATGACGGGTTGATACCGGATACATGCAGGAACCGAGCGGAGTCACCACCCTTGAACACAACTACAATGTCGTTGATTCTAGAGAACCATTTTCCAACTAATCCAAACAACTCTCGGGTTTGCATGGAAAATTCACTGCCATTGGAAGCATCTGTTAAAACCTGTGCAAGGGCGGCTGGCAACCGGTGGCCAAACTTCATCGCTGTTGATTTCTATCAGGTTAATTAACTTTCCTGGGGACTGATATAGTAGAATGTTTTTTCTTTTTCCCCCTTCTCTAATTTGGATTTATGAACAAATGCAGAGAAGTGATGGTGGAGGAACACCAGAAGCTGTAGATGAAGCCAATGGCCACCTCACTTGTGGATGTCCCAATATCGCCTTCTGCAAGGTTAGCCTCAAAACACAGAGACACTTCCATTCCCTGTACCAAAACTGGAGTCCCATCCCAATTTTCTTACAGCTCAAATATATATACTTCTGTATCTTGTTACAGGTGAATGCAACATTTGGCTCATGCGACATCCCACCACTAGCCCCACCTCCACCTGCAAGTGGAGGAGAGCAGTCACTTTTCGGTCCTCCTCTCTCCGACAGTGCTTATTCTCAAAGAGGCCAACTCCAACTGCGATGGCTGTTTGGGGCAATTTTGATCACCAAGCTTCTCTTGTTACAGTTCTAACCTCCACTACTGCTGCTGCTGATTATACCTTTTTCTTTAACCATTTCTGTAAATAGAGAGAAGACAGTGGGGGAAAAGTACTTAATTTACATACTGATACGATAGAAAGGCTTAACCTTCTGAGTTCTGAGTGCCCTTTTAAGGATTTTTTTACAAAAAGCAGTCGGTGGGTGATTCAGTGGAAGTGTGGGACATTACAGGACCATGCTGTTCTTTCATTATTTCGATTTATTTGTGTTGATGCATGGCCTTCTCCAGGTGATTGAGACAGCCTTTTTGGGAATTGCCAGTTGTGACAATAAATAAAAGCTACTGCTGCCTTTTGATTTGTACTTGTGAGCTTTTTCGCTGGTCCAATTTTGTGACTTTTTGGCTCCAAGAATTGGTGGGGAGGAGGGAACAAGGAGTATTGGGACCATTGTTCTTCTGGAAAAGAAGTAAAGGGCTCACTTCCTTCCCAGCCCCTTTTGTTTGTTACTGGAAACATAAGACCACTTCTTTTACCTTGCACTCCAAGTCCTCTTCTACTGCAAAAAAACCAGACGCAGTCACCTGGAAATGGCACATTTGGAAGTGAATTTGTATTTCTTTCTTCCTTTGATTGGAGATGTATGAATGTGGAACCTTGTGGTACAGCTTTAGAAGTAGGAAAAACTGAAGGCATGAATTATGGGGAAAGAGAATGCAAATTGATAAAGCGTTCGACTGAGTTCTGTACATAGGGATGAATAATGAATTACTGGTTGCCCCTGGCCCAAGCAAGTTGCTGTAAGCTCAGCTGGAAATCTCCTCCCGGTAGGGTCTTTCTTTACTCTGGATAGATAGTTGTCATCTTGCCTCTATAGCTCCCACCGCACTTTCAGGCCCACTTTTGCGACTACTCCCAGCACCACCACCTGATTCTGTCACCTGCTTGTCTAGCAACCCGTCTTTCGCCCTGCATGATCGTTGGTTTGTCGGGTCCTTTCCAGCTCGACGATCCTGACAAAAATCACAGCAAACCCTGACTCCATGAGAGAATGTAGAACCTTGGCAGTCGTGAGAAAAGCAAGTTCTGATATTTTACGGGTTTGAACAGTTCATTGGAAGGTTGTGGAGGTTCAGAAACACATACTTCTCTAAAGGAATCATCAGCCTCTAGCATATGTACAATGTGTCCCATTTTGGGCCGTTTCTGCGAGTTGGGATCAACGCAGCGTAGAGCTACCAGAAGAGCTCGCTTCAACGCCCTTGAACACGGCTTCTCCTGTAGCTTGGGATCCAACACCCCTTCTGCATTTCTGCTCGTAACCATCTTCTTGATCCAATCAACTAGGTTCACCTGTCAAAAACAAAACAAAAAGTAACCACATATCACTTTCTTCTCCATCAACTCAAAAATGAAACATGATACAGCTCCGAGGGGTGTGTGCATTCCTCGATCCATCCAATATCCTGCACAAATGCTGCCCCATAGCTGGGTTGAACAACAGTGGGGGGGCAGGGAGAATCATTTTGAACAAACCTCTTCAGGAGGCCTGGCGTAATCGACTGGGTTCCTCCCACTTATAATCTCCATGACAAGAATCCCAAAGCTGTAAACGTCACTGCTCTCGTTCAACATCCCCGTGCTTGCGTATTCTGGTGCCACGTACCCAAACGTTCCCATCACCCTTGTGGTAATGTAGCTCCTCTCCGAGTTTAGGAGCTTAGCCAGGCCGAAGTCCGAGACCTTGGCATTCCACTGCTGGTCGAGCAAAATGTTGCTCGATTTCACGTCCCGATGGACCACTTTCGGTTCTAAACCCTCGTGAAGGTAAGCTAACCTGGTTCACAAACATTCATCGATTCGCCACGGTTACACAGTTTCGGATTGTTATCAGACTTTCAATTTCATTAGCAAGGTTTTGTATGAAGGAAGGACAAACTGTATTTACCCTTTGGCAGCTCCCAGAATAACATTCATTCTGATCTCCCATGTAAGAGGGCTGCTAGGCCCTACTTCTCCATGGAGCCACTGCTCCAAATTCCCATTGTTCACATACTCATAAACTAACATCCTGCATAAATTTTGAATGAAACGAACTGAATTCTATCTCTTCAATGAAATTGCAGCAGCAGGACAAGAACAAAATGCCAAGAAATTTGAAAGGAAAAAAAGAATCCAAAACTGTACCTTTGAGCTCCTTCAGCGCAATAGCCAAGCAGCCTTACTAAATTCTTATGCCGAACCCTTCCAATGGCTTCCACTTCTACCTTGAATTCCCTTTCAGCTTGTCCCCTGCAGTAATATGCCAAATGAGCCCCAAAATTGACACCCAGAATTCAGATAGAACTGTTCAATGACCGATTGATGAACAGCATTACCTGTTGTTGAGCAAATTTTTTACGGCGACCTGGGTCCGATCCTGCAAAACACCGTGGTAAACGATGCCGTATCCGCCCTCGCCGACGACGTTCCCGTCGGCGAAACAGTCCGTAGCTTCCTCCAGCTCTCGCAGAGTGTACCAGTGTCCCCAGCCCAAATGTGACACATCGGGAATCACCGTCGCCGAACCCCCACGGCCGTGGCTGCTTCCTCCTCCGCCGCCGCCGCTGCTTCCGCTTCCGCCGCGAGGAAGGAGGCCTCCTTCGCCGGACGACCCACCGGGGTACAGAATCTTGTTGTGCCCCCTCCCGATTTCCACCTGAACCCCGCCGCCGTGGTGGTAGTACGACCCGTTGCTGCCTCCTCCGCCGCGAATCGCGTCGCCGGAGGACGAATTGGGCACGAGGAGGGTCAGCCTCTCGTTGCCGACGGGACCCGCGTCGGCCTGGTTGGCGGCGGCGGCATTGGTCTTGACGGGGTCGATTCTGATCTCCTGGATCTCCTTCGATACGGCCGGGATCGCGTGGCGGCTACCGCCGGCTGCGTCGACGGCGGCGGCGTTGGCCCGGGATTTGGAGGACCGCTTGGAGGCGAGCCAGAGTGTGATTAGGAAGAGGAGTATCACGAAGGAAGCTCCGGCGCATACGCCGACGATTACCCATAGCTTCAATCCGAAAATTGAGGTGGGTTTTGATAATTGGTCCGTCATCAGTACCGTTCACCGCCACAAAATCACCCCCCTCCCACCGTCGAGAATTCTTCTCTATTTATTCCCCCTTTCCTCTGATCGGGAAAATGGGTTTCAACTCCGGCGAGGGGGTTTGTTTCGGGAAATTAAAGGGGAACACAGAGCATTGAATTGGAATGTGGATGCGGCTCGATTGGGGCGGTGCTGTTCATGGCGGTGGACAGAGTGATTCAGTTTGCAGAGAGTGACAGAGAAGAGAGAGAGAGAGAGAAAACAGAGCTGGATTTTAGGGGGTAGTTATTTTACGCGCGGGGTAATAACGATAGGAATGGAGGAGAGAATACTGGCACGTGTTCGTCACGTGGCCTAATTGATTGTCAAAAACTTTTGTTTTATTCTCATCGGACCACCATGGAGCGGCGGCGGAGGAGACGGTGGTGAAAGGGAAATGCCAAAGCGTGAGGTTTGGTGGTGGTCGGAGGAGCTTTCCGGTCGGGGTTTCTTGTCAACTTATTATTGAGGGAAAAATTGTGCCGGCCACCGCCACTAATTAGGGTTGTATTTTGATTGAACTGTTTTTCGGTTGATTTGTTGGGAATTTTATGAGAAAGAAGGGTTGCTTTCACTTTGATGGAGAATTCACTTAGTATAAGAACAAACGTGTAATTAGGATTAAGTAGTAGTCTGATTTTTTGGTTAGATTCATGTTGAAGTTCCCTTACCAAGACATTAAAACCCCCTCCTTGAATAGGGTAGTACTAGGTTTCTCAATAATAACAAAGAGCAAGAGTTTCTCTAATGTTTCAATCTTTGATGGGTTTTGTTGTGATACAATCGATTCCATGTAGTTCAGGCCCGAAGTTTTTGTCGAATTTGTTGTTGACTTACTATCCATGTTAATGATTATCCTCACACGGTAAATATTAAGTGAAATGAGTTGCATATGTGGCCATTAAGCGTAGTACAATCGACTGTTTGCTAAACAGTATTGTATCGGCCAGTCCGACTGGGGAAAAAAATTGTCCATCAAAACTCCGATCGGTATAATTTTTTTACAGATATGAAACAGCTAAATCACGATTAAACCACAAAACACCCTATCACACACTTATTAGTACAACTTTGGATCGATCCCTACTCCCTAGTATTTCATATTCCATTGGATGGTAGGTATAGTTTCTTGAATAATTTTTTTAAGAAGTATGTGAATTGTAAACTACCTCATCAACGAGGTTAGGTTTTCTGTTGGATTCAATAGAGTAATTGGACAAAAAAAACAATTGGACATTTCTAGCACAGGTTTGGTGCAGGTTTTTGTTGTTTTTGCTCTCTGAAAAAATATGAGTATTTTAGTCATAAGAAAGAACAGAATACATGATTATATTGGGCTTGAATATATGTCTTTCTTCTTCCCCTCATCCCTGATGGTTAGTGGTTTGGTTGGTTTTGGTCCAAAGATTCTTCCTGTTTTTGTGGGTATTATTAGTGTCTTTATCATACTTTGTGATTGATTAATGATACGGTCAATGTTTACTTTTTCATTTGTTTTGGGAAGTTCTTTCTGCCCATGATTAGTCATCTCTCCGAATAGGGCTGGCTATTTGGTCCGGGTTATTTGTTTTTACCTGAAATCGGACAGTATAACCCGGATCGAGACCGGACCGGGACCGGATAGTAAACAATTCAATCCAATCTTTGGACTTAGATTTAAGGTAAAAAACCGTTTGAGGCCGGATAAAAAACTAGATAAAGACCGGATAAGAGAGCTCAGCACCAAAAACTTAAGGGTAATTAACATAAACGGTCACAAACTTTTGCAATTTGTACAAAACTTAACCAACTCCTTACCCTTTCAGGCCTTAGGCCACTCAAATCTCCACAATCTCAATATAAAATCAAAACCGAATTTGGACCGGACTGAATCAAAACCGAACTGTATCCAATCCAATCTTTGGTCCTTATATTTTTGAAAAGACCGGACTGGACCGGATCAATTTGGGCCAATTTAATCGGACCGGACCGTATAGTCACCCCTATCTCGGAATGTTTAACCACTACAATTCTAGAAATGTTTGTGAAACTTGACCAGAAATTATACAGAAAAAAGTTAGTGGTAAGGTATCACTATTTTGTACTGGAAATCGTGGTTGAACAGTTATTCAACCATTGCGTACCACTAAAACCATCAAACCGTTTAGAGTTCAGTACCCGGTATTTCCCGTCGAACCGATCAGTATGGTAGGGTTTCTTAAACCATGATCATATGTGCATCGTTGTACAAGGCAGATGGCTGGCAGAGTTGTAAATTTGGGCCTAATAATCTGATTAATAGTAATATACTTAGTTACATAAAAAAGAAAAATAGTATATACTTAGTAAGTTTTGTTTTATAGACTATAAACTAATCAAATGCTGCGACATGATATCAAATCTTAATTTTCAACGAGTGAACCACAATCGCCAATTTTCTGAACTCAAATCATAAAATTAATTTAATAAAAAATAACAATCGAGAACGTATATTATACATCAATCATACGCTAATCCTTTGCAATATTGTTAACGTTTTTTTTCTTTTTAGCATTGGAATTTAGAACAGGTAGTGGCTCACTAATTATTGCATAGTATGAGTTATCTTTTTTTGATTCTTTGTGTTATTATTATCCTATTCCTTTCCCCTCCTACCGACAGAAGGGAATCCAATCATACACACCGTCGCAGGCCAGAAGACACAGACAAAGGCGCGGCTGGGCGAGTGGCCACTTACAGAGACAAGGAAAGTTTTCTGATAAGAAATGCATTTGTAGGAATTTCAACCTAACCCAAATGTTCATTTAACTAATGTTTCTACACAATCCAAAGTAGATATGCAAGGTTCTAACCCTAATGATTTGGTTTGAATTGGGACCAAGGTTACCAGATTCACTTCCTGTTATCGATGGAGTGAAGTAATTGGATCAAGAGTAAGATCAATCAAATTTGTGTTCTAGTTTTAGTATGCCTTCTGGTAGTATCATAGTATGTATTTTTAGCATCATACTAACATTCTGAGTGTTACTACTTGGGGTGATAGTTATGTTGATTATCGGCTAATTGTTAATCGATAATGCGGCTAGCAATTACCCGCAAACCATAAAATCATTATCGTCAGTAGCCCGACGAAGGCTTAGCAGTTAACCGTTATCCGTCGATGCGGTTAACAAAATATTTTAGCGACTACCCACTTACTCGGCTAAAAGAGAGGATGGAGGTTCGTAGATTTGACAGAAGGCAAATCCACTTACTTTGCGAACCAACGAACATAAGTAAACACACCCCCTCATTTTCCTACACTCTCGAACAAACAACTCTGGCCGCCACCATCTCTTTCTCCTCTCCTCTCTTCTCCATTAAAGTAAAATAGAGGAGGAGGGTTGACAAGAACGACAACATCGAAGCCGCCTGGCGTCGCTTCTCTCTCTCTCTCTTTCTCTCTCTCTCTCTCTCTCTCTCTCTCTCTCGATATGACGGGGAAGCCACCCGAGAGAGCCCATAGCACGATAACCAATGATTCGTGGTTCACGACACCACCTCGTCAACCGGGCCTCTGTTTTTTGTTTAAGCGAGAAGACGAGGAGATCAAAATCAGTGAGTGTTGAGTGATCAGGGCGAAGTTGTTTCCTTTGTTGAGTGTGGCTTTTTGCCTGTATTGGATGGTTAACAACCTTTTATCGATTATTAATCAAGTAACCGCCAACTGCCGATTTATTAACAGTGTATAAATTGATAATCCAACAAGGGATTTTTCACTTTCCATTAAACAACCCGCATGCTTCTTGATGGTTCACAATTAAATGTTAAAAGCCGGCTAGCGATTAAACCGTGAACGACATAACCATTTATTACACCTAGTTACTACAATTTCCCCCTTTTGAGGTAAAGTGGTACTTTGGTGAGGGCAAACTGGTTGTCACACCAACTTCCTAACGACCAAGTCAACCTGATACGATCAGTATCTATCACCAAATCGGTTAGAAAGGGGGCCAACATTCAATCTTGGTTAAATCCGATCAATACCAAGAATAGCGACCTGTTAGACCGTAAACTAAATGTCAGTATTTTCACACATGTCATTAAAAAATAAACCAGCTATGAAGGGATCAGTATTCATTTTTTGGTATCCGGTCAATACCGGAAATACCAATCGCTTAAACCAGCGAGATTTGAACCAACTACCTCATGCTCAAAAGTTTCAAATATACACAAATAGGCTACAACGACCTTTGTTATATATATTAACCTTATATATTATGTAACCAATGTTATTAAAATTCATTTTATATACTTTTATTTTTATGTATGTAATTGTTTACTAATAATTATCTAATCCTAACTTTAAATTATTTTGCGTTAATTGACTCTTTTAATTGCTTTTTCCTAATTAATTAATTTGATATTGATTATTTCCATTTTTCTCATGTATTATTATATTGAAATCGTTACAACTAGTCATACTGTTTCACTTGGCAAATCCACCTAACGAAATCTGGTTTGACAACCTTGGGCCAGGTCCTTGCGAATCCAAGTGAAAGGCGGGTCTTCAATCCAACTGACTTGATTGACCCATAACTTATTGGGCCCATAAATTGTGTAATTAGAGCCCGCTAAGAGCACATGCCGCTATTCTTCAACTGAGCTGGCACGCAAATTGCGGGCTACTTTACTTGCATCATACATCGGATTGGCGCCAACCTGCTCTCAATTTTCCCGCCATCTAAGTTGGAAAAAAACCCTGGTGAAATCATTTCCCCCCCTTTCCTGACGCCTCTCTATCACTGCAAAACCCTAGTCGCCCGTTCTCCAGTAATTCAGGCGAGCAGTCTCCAAGAAGCGAAATGAGCGACGAGGAGCAGACAGTAGTGGCCAGCAGGCGGAGTAGCAGAGTATCTGGGGCGGCGGCGACAGCGAGGGCGGAAGCGTTAGAGCGCCTCAAACTCCTCCGCAGCGGTGGCCGCAGATCCGAAACCGGAATAGGATACGACATCAAGAATGAGAATCCGATCTACGACACCGTCCCGGAGGAGGAGTACGCCAAGCTCGTCGCTCGCCGGAAAGAAGAAGCCCAAGGGTTTATAGTCGACGACGATGGACAAGGGTACGGCGACGAGGGCGAGGAGGAGGATTGGTCCAAGCCTGGTCTCCCTACTTCTTCCGACGAGTCCGACGGCGGAGGGGACAACAGGAACAGGTCGAAGAGGAAGAAACCAGAGAAGAAGAAGGAGAAAGAACCTCCGCAGAAGAAGGCCCAC